GGGTCGGAATCCAGGACGAGAACATTAGTCAAGGATAGGGGATATCGTGATTAGAAAGGGAAAAAAACACGAGCACAGAAAGCAAAAACAAAAAACGGGCAATGCAGTTCCGTCCGTCCAGAGCGTAATTGATGGATATTTGATTATTGGAGGATTATTGCGGGTAGCTGACGGATGTGGTCTCTGGAAGCCGTAGCCGGGTTTGAGATCAGCGGACGGGACAAGGTCGGGCGAGGATGACCTTGTCAAGGAGGTCCAGAGGGTCGATCCTAAAGGTGATGGCGACATTACTCACGTTGCGGGTACACCGGTCCGCTCTGGTAGGGAGAGTGAGGGTAGTTTGGAGGGTATGCCATCTGTCCGTTCTGATAGACCATGCCACCACCAGGGGGGCCGCCGTATTGACCCGGAACCTGGCTGTCCGCAGGCTGGTATCCGATGGGAGGGAGTTGAGGACGGACGCCACTGCCATAGGCAGGTGGCTGTCCATGGGAGGGGTCCGAAGGGTTGGGAGCCTCGACCTGGTTGGCCTGAGCAGCCTGGGCGGCAGCGCGCTCACGCTCCTCAACGGCCTTGCGCTGAGCCTCCTCTTCCTTCTTGCGAGCTTTCCATTCCTTGCGGATCTCCTTGAATTCTAAAAGAAAGATGGTCAGCAGTGAACTTGGTAGATGAGAAATGACCAACGTGGACATAGCGTTGGACAAGATCGGAACTAGTGGGTGACAGGTGCTAGGGCCGGCGGAAAGGGATAGAGGCAAGCTTAACCTCACGCCGTCGGCCACGCTACTGCGGGCCCCGCGGCGTCTAGTGTAACTCACTAGCGTCCACGCGGCCGGCGCTAACCCGATCCAGCCATTTGCGACAAAAGATCGAAGATCTCAGTCGTATCGACCACTACTCATCCAGCAAAGGAAATGAAAAACCTACCTTCAGGAGTGCGCTTCGCGCCGTGCGACTGCATAGTCACATGTGCATTCAAATGGTTCAGAGTACCATATGCCTTCTCACAGCCCTGCCATCCACATTTGTACATGCGCTCGATTTCCTCGTAGCGACGACGGGGACGCTTGTGCTGCTGCGCACCAGGAATTGGGACGAACGAGTAAACCTAAGAAGAAAATCAAAGAATCAGCTTTGGTTCAATCGCAAAAGATTCAAAACCAAGCCCCAATCGCTGAACAGCGACTTGGGCGACAAGCGCTGTTTTTGGCGATCCCTGGGAGGGCGACGTGCAATCCAAAGAAAAACTGCCGAGTCGAGCCCAGAGGTGTCCAAGGACAACAGTGAATGAACACAATACGAAGCCTTCAGAAAACCACCCCCCTAGGGATCATCAAAAACATACCTGTCCAGGGCGCGGCCCTGCAGTTGCGGCAACAGGGGAGGCGGAACCAACCGTTGTAGCGGGAGAGGCGTAAGGACCGGGCAATCCATGATGCTGTTGTCCATAGCTGTGAGGCCAGTCCGGGCGCGCGTACATCTGGTGAGGGGGCGGCGGGTGGCCCTGGTACTGAGCCATCTCGTGCCCCTGAGGCTGGTAGGGAGAGTAGGGAGGAGGATAGGTGGGGCTGTTGGCCGGAAGGGAAGGATCTATAGGAACGGGCGCGTCAGACTTAACGATCGGACTGCGCGGGCCCGTAGGCAGGTTGAACGGACTTGTTGCTTGAGCCATACCTGCCGCGCCACCGGGTTGAGAGTTGGGGGCGTAGGATTGGGGTGGGCGGTGGAGGTAGTCCTGGTGGTAGGCAGGGGAGCGGGCGGTGGGCGGAGGGTTCAGACCGTAGTCCGACTGAGGGGTGTTTGACGACGAAATATTAGGTCGCACTTCAGGTTGTGGCGTGTAGGTCGGGCGGACCTCAGGTTGCGGGGTGTAGTGAGCACTAGCAGCAGCAGAAGTTTGGTCTGCGATTGTTAGGTGTGTGCTCGAGGTAGGTATCTGTCAGGATGCGAACCTGGCTGTGCGTACTCGGAAGCGGGTCGGGTGTCCATATAATAGATTCGCGCGCAAACAGGTTGAATCTAAGGATGTTCCGCGTTCTGTGTGGAGACGCGTCGACATAACAATGAGTTCAAGTTCGGGGAAATTGACGAGTCGGACAGACACGTTTCAAGCAAGGGACGGGATACTAGGTTGCCACGTTGGAATCGTGGCTGAGAACGTACCTGGAAGTTATAGCAAACAGAAACAGAGACCTGGAAAAAAGAAAAAAGAGTAAAGTTGGAAGTTCAAGATGCTTAATCTTAGTTCGCTTTTAGGATGCCTTGCAGGTGGCGGTAAGCACGAGGCACCGGGAAAACAGACTAGTGTATAGAAGAAGAAAAAAGTTCAGTCCGCGACTTGGAGCGACCTAAAAGGTGAGACGATTAGGAGAATGGGATCCGTGGTGGACCCCGGTGGAGTAGGTAATTTTGGTTATCGAGACGAAATATTACCTGCTTTTTACATTTACTTCTTGATATTAGTGGGAAAATGTAGAAATATGCAGAATCATACATCCCAAATGGTTTGATCTCGGACCATTCGCTATTTCCAGATGTTTCCCCCTTTCCCCTCCCCATGACGGGCTAAGCTTTCCATGTATGATAACACCTTTGGGGGGGAGTGATTTTTTACTCTTGAGAAAAAAGCGGAACCAGGGGGGAGTAAAAAAAAAAGTGGCAACAGGATTCTTTCTTCCCCTTTCCTTGCGATAAAAATTAGATTGAAGCAATTCATGGTGGTTGATATAGACATCAAGTGTTGTTGCTCTAAAGGCTAGGTTCCCTTCCTTAGTCTACCCGCGAGAGAACCTAGCGTACGTGGGTACCAAGATGTCAGAGAGGGGGAGCCAGGGGAGAGCGAAAAAGAGGGAAGACTAAGGCAAAAGGGGGTGTAGCGCAGGTCGGGGGGGGAAAAGACCTCGGGAAGAGGCTAGTGTGGAAATGTATCCAATAGGAAAAAAGGAGATGGGACAAAGTGGATCAAGTGGAGACTGGAGAAGCTCGGTGGTTGGGTTTGACCTCCTTGGGATTAGTGCAAAAGTTAGAGGTTCAAAGCCGCGGTTGTAGCCGGTAGCTTGGACCATGTAGAAGTTTCCCAGCACAAATTGTGTACAAAAGTCCGTACTGTATGAGTATAGCCAAGACTTACAGCGTAAAGTCTAATGTGAAGACAGGCTATCTCCTTATAAAAACATTAGGTGACATCCGATCTGGCAAAAATCGATTGCAACATCCATTCCCACCATGGGCCAATATTCGATCGGAGACAGATAATAATAGCCCCATGCCAAGGCAGAATAGGGGGCATTTCCCAGCGGGATTTCCGTGGAACTCGCCCAGTCCGCTGATTGGCCACCCATCTCCTAATCACATCGTCTTACGAGCGGAGACTCGGCGGCTCTCCGGTATATTAGGTTACACTGTTATAACTTTTCTTTGAGCCTGAACAAAGGGCGACTCTGATAGGGAGAAAACGGACAAGCAAAGCTCCTCTTCTCGGAGTTGTCACTGTCACTGTCACTGTCTCTGTCTCTGCAACGTGATTGGCGCCAGATCTCACTCCGCAGACGGAACCTGTTCCTCCACTGCCGGTGAGGAAAACTTGCCTTTAATTGCTCAATTTACACCTGACACAGCTATACTCCGTAACGTCAACACCATTCAAGATTCCATCCTTGTCCATACCATCAGACAAATGGGACCATGGACATGCACATGCACATGGTCATGCACATATATCCATGGGATATAGTACATGTAAACACGGTCGGCGCATCACGGTACCGTGCTTATCTCAAAGATCACAGTGGAGAGGCGGCGGACTCCGCCAACAACACAGTGCGGGAGATCCGGAGTCGAGCAAGCATATCAAATTCATATTGCGCGCCAATCATTGGACGCCGCAGCCGCTCGGTATCTGGACAGTATTGTCGTAACGGGTCAACACCTTTCGGGTGATCTGAATTTGGACCCAGTCTCCAGTTTTCATGTCCTGGCACTGTCATAGAGCTCCGCGGGAGTGCATGTGCATGTAGCGTGTAAGTTAGCGTTAGCGTGTAGCGTGTAGCACGTCGATCGAATTAGAACTGGCTTTGGATGAGCTTGGCTATAACTGGTTTCTTTATTTCTCGTATTTTTATTTCTGCTTCTGTTACCTATTCTGATTGTGTTGCTATGAGGCGCTTGCTTTCCAAAGATAAGATGAAAAAGAAAAAGTGAGAGATTAAATGTCTCATTCCCAGGCTACCTGCAGGCGTTCATGTCACTTGATGCACGTGGGTCCATGCAACTCGAGTATCCATACATAAGTTACTCCGTTCTCCGTATCTCAAGGATGCTAAACGCGTGACTAATGAATAACAAGCTGGTTCCCACAACGGGGTCGAGCCGGCTATTCTCCGGTGTTTTTCCAGCTCTCCCCAATGGCTTGGCTGTAATTTCCTTCCCCGGAGAGCCATAGTCCGGTTTCTTTTACGGGTAGCCCTTCGTTGGCGATCCTAACCCGGCTGTCACTCTTGGCTGTAACTGAGAAAACTTCTAGTTACCTATGATTTTGCCGGGAGACACTCTCAAGACAACTGCTCCCATATAGCGCTAACCCGGTATGTGCAGTAGCGTATTAACGCCCCACAACTTGCCGAGTTCTCAAAAAATACGCAATTTCCCAACTCCACTGGTGGCCAGTGCGGTACTGGGAGGAGTTGGGCTACGCCGCACATAGTAAGTCTTACCCGCTAATGCTTCGGCAGATCGCGTTAACCTGATCAGCCCCCAGATGATGATCCCTCGGCCGTTTGGTAGCGGTTTGTTTCTCGGGAAGTGTGGAATATAGGAAGATCCAAGCAATCTCGGTTAGAGGATATGTTACTTGTTACCTGTATTGGTATCATTAGAGACCAATGGATGCGACTAAACCATACAGGGATCTAACTTTGTCGGACAGGGGTCTAAGCATTGCCAATTCAAACCTTTATATCAGGTCTTGATCCATCCAGCAATATATGGATGTGTTGTTATTACGTTATTTTGTATTCATTTCCTGTCTCTTTATCCAAATAAATACCTATAACAATACATGGCACATGGTGAAGCCTAACCCCTATATGAAGCCCTGAGCGCCCAATCTGCCGAGCAGAGTTACATTTTCCATGCATATTCTTCGTCTGCTCTAGACTTACAAAAAAGAGAAAGGGGCCCAAGCCCATGTGAACCTAAACTTGCTTTTTCTTACACGAGGGGCAACTTTGTCTTCTCTTAGCGTATGGCAGGTGTCCTTCCCGTTGGCCGCGGCACGGAACAATTCTCGTTTATTTTATTTATTGATTTTTTACGTTCGATTTGGATCTGGACCACTGCGTACATGTCCCGTTTTATACTTTGCTCCGACGTGCATCGTCGGATATCACGTCTTTACTGGTCTTGGTATGGCGTCTTTAAGGCGTCGGGGGCGCTTATGCAGATTATGGAGAATGAATCCTTTGCTAGATTTGGCGCTAGTCTTGTGTTGGGTTTTACTGCATGTCGCTGTCTTAGGTTGTTTTTGTCGTTATGCGTTAGTCGTATTTTGGGGGGGCTAAGGTGACTTGGGATACTTGGGACGTTGTTATGCATGCACCTGCACTGCAGTGATGCTGTTGATTTTCTATCGGGCCGGATGCATGAATTTTATAAGCAATTTGATTTGATAGTATCGCGCTGGGTGACTATTTATAAGGTTTGTTCTTACCGGTAGCTCGGAGAGAACGCCGATGTCTCTCGGTAGTCGTCCCCAAATCATTCAAGAGAAATTTAGACACGTGGCTCTTCCTAAAAGTGCATTATGATAATGCAATGCTCGTGATGACAGACTATTTTTATTGCTAGGTAGAACTTGTATTTAAAAAAAAATGTACATGTTAGTTGCAGAGACACAACCGCAAAAATATATACAAGTGTGTACACTATAAAAACAGGGAAAAGCAATGATCAACCCCCGCAGACTCCCAATTAACCTCAACATTAGTCTCAGCCTATCCCTAGAGCTTGTTATAGCCTGAAACACTAAACGAAATCCACTGGTAACCTCATAGTGGGCCAGGTAAGCCTAAAGCTTGACCATTAAGCTAAGCACAAGCAACGATCTGGTTGCAAATCGGAGCCCTAGGGAAATAGCTTACGGGACTAAGGGAAAGCATTGACACCGCTTGATAGATCACACTTAGGTCGAATCTGGTAAGGTCTATAAGGCTGGGTAAACGTTGGTACCTAATATCTAGCCCCACCTACGTCTAATAGATCTTCCCACCAAGGGTGGATTGATAGTAAAGTAATATCAACCCCTATATACCAATGAATGTGGCATGATATTACTCACACGGCGTGGTAGTAGTGACACGGTAATAGACTTTCTTGATATGTCTCGGTGCCTACGCCTTATTAAGACACGTCTGGCCATCCTTGGTTGTTTGCTTACAAGGAGGATTCAAAGCCCACAGTGAAACGCAGTAGTAGGTGAACTGAGCCAAACTCTAGTTCTTCTGCTTCTGTGCGACAGACTTCTAGGCCAGTTAGGAGGGTTTCCATCTATAAACCGGATGTAATTTGACTAACAGTAACAAAGGTGGGACCAAGCTCTATCCAAAAATGAGTCCTTGTTCCCACTTAGACATACCTCTTATATAAATTCCTTTGAGATCCACTGTTTCCTAGGTGCCTCGAGACTAAGCAGTCATAGAGTGATACCCTAGTATCCTTCCCCTTATGGCTAAGGAAAACAGGATGGGCTCTATCCAAAGGATCCTAATCTAGGAAATTCTTTTCAATCATTCTTTCAGAACCTAAGCTAGCTAATAAAACCGACAACCAAATAACCGACGGAAAAATTGGTTCCGTCAACCCTAGAGAATTACCCCGGAGCATCGAATAATTGCGGGGTTAGAGAAGCTAGAGATCTATATAACTTTGTCCATAGCTAGAAAACGCCGACTCCAAGTAAAACGGCCCCAATCAATATCCAATTCCAGCCATACTGATCATCTCAATGCTTCAGTTAACTACATATGCCCTAGCGGCAATCTCGAGTATCCCACTCGCCCTGGCCGGCCCTCTATCAAAACCGACAACCAAATTTGACTGGTCATCAACCAAAGCTGTGTGAGTACGAGACAAAAGTTAACAAGCAAAATGATAACCTAACATGAGATCGAAGGATTGCATTTGGTGATTCCTACACCTATGTCCAGGGAACTCAGGGCCGCCAGAACTATAGTTTCATTGGAGATCAATTCAACTTTGCCTATGGTACGGAAACTCTGCTTTCTAATAAGATAGTTCAGAATCAGGTAAGTAGATAATGCTTTACCCAGTCCCACTTGAACCGATAAGTGATACGAACCCTTGATATATAGACCGGAACCGCAGAAGGCGGACCAAACTGGATCGAATATCTCACAAATTGCGGCGTCAAAGAAGGCCTGACCTCCCCGACAAGTTGCAAGAAACAGCTCTGGGACTTTGCATTCGCAGGTGCCGATATCTCAACCGATTAGTAAGTTCAAATGCGCACTTCCACGCACCCCAGTACCTTGACATCAGATATCAAATCCCAAGCCGGTTTAAACCCGCTCAAACATGCAAACAAAAGTAAGAACAAGCTGATACCAAACTGACACAAAACAGCACACCCCTCCACCACAACTACACTCTCTCCCTCGAAAATCAGATAACCCAGTTCAAACAATACGGCCACACAGCCCTCTCAAAGAACAAACAAACCGCCAACCCAAAGCACGTCCTTGTAGCAATTTGGATAGGAATAAACGACATAAACGACAGCGCAAAATACGAAGTGCCTTCCTTCCGCGAATTCTACAAAACCCTCACAGAAACCCTCTTCGCCTCCGTAGAAACCCTCTACGACCTCGGCTACAGGAAATACCTCTTCCTAAACCTACCGCCCTTAGACCGGACACCGGGAAACCAAGCAAAGAGCAATCCAAGCCCGAATGCCACGCAGGTTGCGTGGTATAATGAGGCTTTAGCGGCGCAGGCGTGTGTTTTTGGGCAAGGGCATGGGGATGTGGAGGTTGAGGTTTTTGATGCTCATGCCCGGTTGGCTGGGATGCTTGATTCGCCGGCAAGGTATGGGATTGCTAATACTACTGGGTTTTGTGCTGGGTATGATCAGCCTGATGTTGGGGTTGAGTATTTGAAGTACGGGTGTCCTGTGCCGTTGGATGAGTATTTTTGGTTTAATTCGGGGCATTTGACTAGCCATGTGCATCGGGTTTTGGCTGGGGAGTTGGAGGCCTGGTTGGAGGGTAGATAGACTGAGGGTCAGAAGGGAAATGAAAGGGAGAGGCCAACATATCCTTCCTAGTTTGAACGTCTACGGAAGAGGACAGGTTTGGAAATAATCATTATTACAGAATGAATCTGATTCACAGACTCCCGCGAGCTCTGTGATATGAACTTTTAATCAACATGTATGATTTGTCGCAAGAAACCAAGCCTTAGGTAGTAAAGCTGAGGTCCGAGAACATGAAAGGCTCCCGAGTCTGGAACCGATAAAACAAGTAAAACTGTCTATGACATCGAAAACGCCGCCCGAACCGAATTACGCAGGAAATCGAAGAAAAAAAGAGTCTACCGGGACAAGACAATACAAGCTCGTCGGAAGGCGAGGCATCTACCAGCGACGGTTGCCGCCGACGCTACCAGCGTTGGAGCCTGTGAAGCCACCACCACCGCGACCACGGCCACCCCAGCCTCCACGGCCACGGCCACCCCAGCGACCACCGCCGCCACCGCCGCCGCCGTAGCGGACCATCTCGGCAAGACGAGGATCAATCTGCTGCTTAGCCTCAGTAAGGATGGTGACCAAGTCACGAGCCTGCTTAGAATCTGCGAAAAGAGTTAGCAATTGCACCATGGTCAAGACATGATATTGACTTACTGTCAGTCGTGAAGAAGGTGATGGCGGTACCGGTGGCACCGGCACGACCAGTACGACCAATACGGTGAACGTAGTCCTCCGAGTTGTTGGGGTAGTCATAGTTGAGCACGTGAGTAATGTCGCGCACATCTTTTCAAGAGAGGGTTCGTTAGCAAACACAGAACATTAGTGGGGTTATAGATGAGGATGGCCATAAAGGACCCTTTCTCAGTCGTGCAGGACTTGATGCGTCACTGCTCTCTTCATGAGCCTCCTTGGAAAATCCGAAAGGAAGGGAGTCCATGGGAAGGTGGTGTAATCGTGGTCCTAGAGTAACCTTGGAAATGCAGCCTTCAACAGTTCAAGAACAGCGTTGAGGTGTGAAAAAAAACCCCGACTCTCCTACAAGTCTGTCACACAAGAAATGGAGAATCAAAGTCAGGCCTGGAATGCCTGCTGCTGTGCTGCACTGTGAGTCCAAGGTCCTCCTGGTATGAGAACCAGTTAGGATGACCAGATGTGCCTGGACAAGGCGTTTACACCGAATTACTTCGAGAGAGTTGAGCATCGTGCCATTGTCATCACACAATTTGGAACACGGGTGAGTTTTCTCAAGGGCCCCAAGGGGGGAGAAACAGGGGAGGGGGGAATAGGAAAGGGGGATGCAATTTGTTCATACCGATACCACGGGAAGCCACATCAGTGGCCACCATGATGGGGCTCTTGCCCTGCTTGAACTCATTCAAGACCCAGTCACGCTCGTTCTGCTGCTTGTCACCGTGGATGGCTGGAGAGAAGGTTAGTACGGAATATATATGCACCGGTTGCGTAGAAAACTTACAAAGCGCGGGCCATCCGTCCTGGCGTAGGAAACGGGTAATCTCGTCAGCGATACGCTTGGTACCAGTGAAAATGAGACACTTGTTGGAACGGTTCTCCATGATCTTCTCAAGGTGCTTGATCATCTTGTCGCGCTTCTCGAAGTCCGAAACGACCTCAACAATTTGGTGAATGCGGTGGTTAGCGGAGAGGTCCATGGAACCAACGTTGACCTGAATGTAGTCATTCAGGAAATCAGAGGCCAGCTGGCGGACCTCCTTGGGCCAGGTAGCGGACCACATGCAAGTCTGACGGTCAGGGCGAATCTGGCCAATGATCTTGCGAATTTGGGGCTCGAAACCCATGTCAAGCATACGATCAGCCTCGTCAAGAACGAGGTAAGTAACACGACGAAGGTTGGTACGGCCAGCCTCGAGCATGTCGATGAGACGACCAGGGGTGGCAATGCAAACCTCAACACCACGGGAGAGGTCACGAATCTGAGGACCCTTGGGAACACCACCGTAGACACAGGTGTTGCGAATGCGAGAGGACTTGCCGAACTTGGTGATCTCAGCCTGAATCTGGACAGCCAATTCACGAGTGGGAGCCAGGACGAGGACAATGGGACCGTCACCGGGAGCAAGAAGAGGCTGAGCGTTGATGTGCACAATGGCGGGAAGACAGTAACTCAAAGTCTTTCCGGAACCAGTCTCGGCAATACCGACGACATCACGACCGGAGAGGGCCATGGGCCAGCCCTGGGACTGGATAGCAGTGGGCTTCTCGAAACCCTGAGCTTTGACCTCAGAGAGAACGTACTGGGGGAAGCCAGCCTCATCGAAAGTCTCAACGGGACGGGGAACGTTGGTACCCTGAACAGCCATGGCCTTCTCCTTGCGGAAGGCCAGAATCTCTTCTTCAGAGCGCTCGCTAACATCGGGGTGCTCCTTATAGAAAGACTTCTCGAACTTGGGAAGAGTGTTCATATCTGAAAGGTTAGCAAACGACAAAGTGAGAAAAAAAGTGAGAACTTACCCCAGTCTTGCGTCTTCAGGCCAGCGCCGAGGTTGGACATGCGGTCACCGCCGGCACCACCGCCGAAACCACCGCCGCCTCCGTAACCACCACCGCCGCCGCCGTAGCCACCTCCACGGCCACCACCGTAACCACCACCGCCGCCACCACCGTAGCCACCTCCACCGTTGGAGTAACCGTTGTCACCTCCGCGAGAGCTGGAAAATGGGAGTCAGCAACTTTCTGATTTTTCTTTGAAGTAATGTAGTGCCTGTTTTCCGGAAGACTAGAGTCCCGGACAACCGGGACCATAAACTCCCAACTCAGCTTCCAAAGCCGCCAGTGACAAAGGTAGGCTCAAAGCCATTTCACTCGTCAACAGCGTCAAGGATCTGGAAAGAGCACACGGAGAAACAAGCCCCGAGGACAGCCTGATGGAAAAACTTACCGGTAGGAGTTGTCGCGCGAGTAGCCGCCACCACCGTACGACATGATGAATTCTGTGAGGATGAAGGTGGAATAGAAAGAGAGAGGGGAAGAAGATCCAAAGTAAACAGAAGATCAAGAGAGGGGGATGAAGAAAAAAAGAAGGATGGATGAGAGGAAGAAACTGCCAGGGGAGAAGGCGCGAGAAAAAAGTTGTTATCGGAGACGAATGGGGCCTAGCGTACTTGCAGTTTCTTTTTTTTTTGCGCCTTCCATTTCACGTGATAAGTCTGGATCGGGACGTAACCGCCTGCCTAATCGGGACAAATTAGAGTTGAATGCTGACTAATTGAATGCTGATTGGTGCGGTGAATTGCGGTAGAATCAGCCATGGATTGGAAGGGGCAAAGAGGCAAATCTCTTGATGGCAAATCAAGGGTGATAGGAGAACATGATCGTAAGGATGATCTGGAATGATTGTGATTAATTACTAAGAAACTCATGTGGAAGATGAGATGAAAAATGGGAACGATTTACAGTTGAAAAGTATAGGAAATTTTATAGATAAATGTTGGGATGAAAAGCGCATGGAAGCTGGATGGAAGCTTGATCAAAACAGATCGGACAATGAGGGCTGAAAGATCACAGGGTATAGAGGGTTAGATAGGCCGTAGTCAAGTCGATTCTCCGAAATCACAAGGAAGTAAATAGGTGGAAATGGTCTTGTGGACACGGCGAAGGAAGAATAGCCAGCCCCTTCAATAAGTAGGAAGAAGCATTTCGTTTTGGCAGATTTACCACCAAACTGTAACAAGTTACAGGAAAAGAAACCACAAGCCTCTCATATGTCTATCTACTCCTTACCCCCAAGGCCCATGTCCCAGAAACAGATCTCCAACTCCGTAGCCCGGATGAAGATCTGGACCAGCTCTTCCATGCGACTAGGTGAGACCAGTTTCATGTGATCCTCCAGCAATGCTATAATATAAAATGATTCAGTCACTGTTTCACTCGTCAGTCATGAGCCAACTTACCTGAACCCAGTCGTACAGCCCCGGTGTAGTCCTCAGCAACATAGTTTTCAATCCATTTCCAGTACCGGTTGCCTTCTCGGATAGTGCCTTCTTCCGTGTACAGTCTTCGTGCAATAGCACCGTATCCGATCAAGCAGGGCGCGAGGGCCATTTGGAGGGCTAGCCAGTCTTCGGATTGGCCGACATCCAGGATGTATCGGCTGTATGCAGTGCAGGCTATTGTTTCGGGGGTTAATTGTCTGGGATTGGTCAAAGAGGTAGAGGAGCTTACCGATGGTTTCGGGATGACGTTCCATCTCCTGCTTTGAAAGACCGAAGGAGGCGCAGTAGTCAATGTGCAAGGCCATTTCCCGCTGGATGTGCAGGACGATTTGGGCGGACTGGCGTGTAAATTAGATTGGGTCCACGAGATGTATTGAATTACATACTGCTGCTATTGAGTCCATGCTTTTCGCTTTGTATGAAGCCAGTGCATTACTGCGGGCAAATTGGACCTGCAGAGTTGAGCTTTGTTAACGAAGAGGCCTTTCAAAAGTACATAGAAAGTGTGATCTTACCAGGTAAAGATAATCCTGGACGAGGTACGCCTTGAATCGTTCGATGGGCAGGGTACCCTGGCCCATACCCTCCACAAATTCGTGAAGAGTGAACTTTTCCCATACTTGCTTCACATCAGGGCGGTCAAGGACGTACTCAAGGAACCGGCCACTGTATGAAAAATTGTCAGAAAGCCTTATCAATCGTTCACAAAGGCGGTCACATACGGCGCAAATGGCATAGTATAAATAGAGTGGAAATGGTTGATAGGTCCACTTCCTTTACCCAGGTCAGTGCTGGTTTTGATACCAACCTCAACGAACCGAACAGCACCGCGAACTGCTCTGATCATGTCCTTCCCTGAAGCAAGATTTGCAGCGATTGCCGATGCAAGCGAGCAACCTGTGCCATGTGTGTTCTTGGAGACCAGGAACTCTGTCTCAAA